CTCCAAAGCGGAATCAGATCTGGACTTTCTGCTGAGCATCCTACACAAAGAGGTCCCTGCTGCCCAGGACCCTGCTGGGGCCTCTGCTGTGAGGGTTTTCAGGGGGAAACGGGGTGCATGAGAAGGCTTGGGGAGCACCTGAGGGCATACGGAGGGCTCTGGCATGAAAAGGAAGGCAAATGTCGGATACTGGGGTGCACTGCAAAGAAAGTGCGGGGTTCTAGGTGGCACCAGAAGGCAAACGGAGGAGTCTGAGGTGTACAGGAGGAAAACCAGAGGCCTCCGAAGGTGCACCTTCTTTTGGGTGCACCAAAAGGTAAAAGGAACGATTCTTAGGGGACGAGAGGACTGAGTGGAAGTCTCTGCATTGCACCAGAGGGCAAATGAAAGACCCTGGGGAGCATCAGAGGGCGCATCGAAACCACACATTCAATTCTGTGTGCATTCAGATCCTCTCCATTCCCCTCCATGCACTCTCTGTTCCCCCACGTGCCACTGTAGTCCCTGTCATTCTTCTCTTTGCATTCTCAGGCTCCTGCTGTGCCCCTCTGTGGACCCTCAGTTACCCCCTATTCCCTTCTGAGTGCTTGTAGATCCTCTCTGCTTCCCTACCTGTGCCTTGGAACCCCGCAGTTCCCATCCATGCATGCTCAGATCTCCTCCACTCCCCTTCGTGCACCCTCCCAGTCCCTGCTGTCCTTTCTGAGTGCGTTACACCCAAGCCATGCCCTCTCTACATGCTTTCAGATTCCCTCTGTTCCCTTCTGGGTGCTTCTAGATACCCTCGGATTCATTCTGTTCAGTTCCAAGCACTCTCAGATGCTCTCCATTCGTATCCAGCTGCTGTCATATCCTCTCCATTCCCCTCGCCATGCTCTGTTGGAACCCCTCTGTTGTCCTCCTTGCACAAACAGATCCCCTCCATTCCCCTCCTAGTACGCTAAAGCATCCTCTGTTTCCCTCCGTATGCACCCAGATCTCCTCTGTTCCCCTCCTCGAATACTCACATCTCCTCTATTCCTTCCAGTGTCTGCTTAGTGCTGACTTCTCCCCTCTGTGCTCACATCCCTCTTTGCCGCGACCAGTGCCCTCAGATTCCCATTGCTGCCCTCCATCGACACTCAGATGCCACCTGTCCCTTCTGCGGGTGCTCAGTTCCTACAGCTTCTGCCATCAGATCCCTTCCACTAGCGCTGCACACCCTCAATTCCCTTCCATTTTCCCTCCATGCACACTCAGATCCCCTCCATTCCCTCTCTATGCACACAGGGTCAAGTCTTCTGCTTTCGCCTCCGTGCATGCTCAGACCCCTCCGTTCCCCTCTGTACATGGCCAGGTCCCCATTGCTGCCCTCCATCCTCCCGGTTTCGCTCTGTTCCTGGGAAGACACATGCTTTCCTCTGTGGCCATCTCTCCTGTGTGACCAGTCTCGCAGACCCAGCGCCCCAGAGACCACAGCTGTCTCAGATTGTCCAGAGAAACCCTTCAGCCAGTGTCTTTCTGCAGGCCCCTTCAGCCGCATCCCAGCAGATCAGGACTGTGGCCCACTGGGGAACAGAGACCTCTCCTGCTTCGCCCTCTGCCACAACCCTCTCCCTGCTGCCATGCAGTCCAGAAAGCACCCGCCGCTCCAAACACCGTCCCCCAACACACAACAGCCTCTCTGGGAGTCTCGGGACTGCTCTGACTTCCCCACCAGGAGCTAGGCTGGGCTTGCCAAGAGCACATTAAAGAAGAACCAGTTGACCCAGAACCCTGATGTAATGGTGGGAGGCGGGGACATCCCCAGTGTTTGCTCTCCACACCGGTTGGTGACCGGTGTTCAAGTGTTTATTTACTGAGCTACACTCTTCAAATTTCCCAAATGTGCTGTTCCCAGGGGAAATTCCATCCAAGGAGCCAAGCACTCACAGAAGAGACCATTCCAAGGCCTCTTGCTGGCACCGAGGTTATTTTCTTTGCAGCTCAGGAAGCTATGCACCTTGAACCACAGGCGCCTTCATCTCTGCTGGTGCTTTCCAAGGGCGCAAGGAAACCCAGCCTGCGTTCATCCTGCAAAGGAAGCCAGACCCGCTCACCCTGCCCACCGCAGAGGGCCCTACAAATACCCCTGAGAGCTGCTGCTCCACAGCTCTGCGCTCCGGAGGGCATCCCTACCACAGGTGAGTACTGGGCTGGGAGTGGGTGCTGCTCAGCAGCGATGGGGGGAGTGAGGTCGGGCAGCCCAGACAGAGCGAGAGGCTCCATGCACTGGTCCTCGCACGCCGATGGGGAGTGGTGGCATCGGTGCCCTCCGAAGGCACGCTCACCTGCCACCCCTACGAACGCCAGCAGCTCGTGCCCTGCCTCAGGGGCCGGGAATGAAACCTGGCTCAGTGCGTTGCTGGGTGCTTTGCCCCGCCCAGAACTATCTCGTCCATGACTTTTCAGGAGCTGGTAAAGGGGAAAAGACAAGGTCGTCTACACCTTGGGAAAATGAGTGCTCTCACCAGCGCTCACAGTTCTGTGGTCTGGGTCAGCCCTGGCTGGTGAACAGCCCCAGCCCCTGCTCTGGGCCAGTGGAGGCTTGGTAAAAAAGCTCTAGGGAGAGGATGTGCTATGATGCCATAGATCCAAAAACACCTCCGCAGTGTGTGTGGGCAGGTGGGCTGAGGAGACATGGCATCAACCCCAGGCCATGCTCAGCTGCGGAGAGGATCTCTGCCCGTGCTGCAGGACGACCTTAGCTGTGGCGGGAGGCCCTGCAGCAAGAGAGCTGCAGGCATGGGGAGAGCACACAGCCAGCGCCACGGGGATCCCGTGCTTGTGCTCATGAACAGCCAGCTCTGAGTGGGAAGAGCCCTGCCCCGTCCCTAGCCCTGGCCCTGCTCCGGGATGGATGGAGGGTGGTGGCTGTGAGGAGGTGCACCCAATGCAGGCTGCAGTGCTCTGTGTGTGTGTGTGTACTCTGCAGACTGGTTAGGGTAACTGAGTGCGTGAAGGGGCCATTTTTCTCCTGTTCCATCAGTCACAGGCAGGGGCAAGGTTCTCTTCACCTTCTTCCTCAGCATGACCATGTTTTAGTGACACAACCCCTTTTTCAGGAGACCCAAAGGAGCCCACTAGTGTCCATATCAGTCTTCTGGCCTGATACCAGCATAGCCCAGTGGATGTGGGGCCTTTCACTGGGCCTGCCTCCTGTTAGGTGTCCCATAACGAAGAGGAACAGAGGGCTGAGGCCAATCCACTCTCACATCCAGCCAAGTACGTTGACCTGTCTAGGCTGAGACAACAGATTATTCCCCAGGTACTCTGGCCAGATGTCCCTCTATCCTGTCATGGGGTGAAACACAGTTGTGTTGCACAGGGTCTTATTAAATCACCCTCTCCCCTGCCCCAGGCTGGCCCAAGGCCTGCA